AAGTGCACCGAAGCAGCAGCCATGGCTGTAAAGGCGACGAGCGGGGGGGGGATGGTGGAATTATGTGTGCGCTTATGTCGGGAGATGGTTCTACATGTAGGGAGTTTCTGTAAGGGTGTATGGCTTTTATGTAGTCATGTAGAGGGATTCTTGTGCTAAACCACGACCTCAATCGGTATTAGGTAGAATACGATTATTTCAGTCGGCGGCTTCTCATTTCTTCAGGCTAGGGCTTGGGGTTTGAGGGTTTCGCACTTGTTGATTGTACTTGGGTTGGGTTGAAGATTTTGGGATGCTTACGGAATCTTGGACACCGCGTTTTGGAGGGAAGTTGAGCTCAAAAAAGTGCTCTAACTAGTAGTAGCAACAGCCCCTTTATGTTCCACATAAGTTGATAATGCAAAGAACCACCCACAACCTAAATTCTACATGTTGAGGTCTTAAGCATGAAAGGACTTGGCTGAGGTACTCCAGGGGTATGCAAGTTAAGTAAATTCTTTCCATACACCAGTTAGAATCCCATCTCAGGCTTCTCTTTTATCCTGTAGGTCAAGGTTTGGACTCGTGCGCAAAAGCAGTGAGAAAGGGGGAGGTGTTTTTTCGATGGTGTTTCGGCACTGACATTTGGCAGGCAGCCAACCTCTGTAGAATCCATAAGCCAAACATACGCAGCTGTGCCCATAGTCGTTGAATGTTTCAGGACAAGCGCCCTGTCGCCGACATCATTGTCGAGCTCGGTGTCCTGACGCAGCATTTGTTGAGTTGAAGCTTCTGCTTGCCCGGATGAGAAATGCACTGCATGACAGGAGATGCTTGCAGCGACTGCATCTAGCTGAATCTAGCTAGCCTCCACATTTACTGCCCCTTGCAACTGGAGGCTTCTTGAAGAGAGACGAGGTCGAAAAACTGCTGCAGCCTGAGTCCATGTGTGGACCCACTGCAAAGAGGGCCCGGACAAGTTGACCCCAGAGCAGCTTCGTTTCACGATTTTGGACGCCACTGCTCCTCATCCCCACAGCAGTCTTTAAAGCCTTTCTTTTGTAAAGGGCGGCTGGAAGTGTAAGGATGAGACTGGCACCCGCTTTCATGCTCCGTGCTTCTATCCTGACTCGGAGACAGGATTGGTTGTACTTGTTCAAACATGCCGCAACTGCAAAGCAGCAGGAAAAGGGAACGGATTTCTGGTGTGGTGTCTAGTATGTACCCCGTTGCCTTTCCCCCGGCGAAGACCGCATCGAGATTGCGAATTACACCCTAGCGCAGCCTGCGCCCCATTCAGGGAACCCAAAATCCTGCCTTTCCGGTGGCTATGTAGGGGTCGATGGCTTCTCCCTGCATTCAATGCCGAGGAGTCTGGGGTTCCAGGGCACTCATATGTAATTGGTAGAGTTAGCCAGCCTCCGAGCTCCTTACCTTACTCCTGCCTCCAGCGCCTTACAGTAGTAGTAGTAGTAGTAGTAGTAGCAGCAGCAGCGGTAGTGGTAGTGGTAGTGGTA